GACATTGACAACCACCTCTAATATAAATTGATAAATACCTAAGAAACACTTCGTGACTCCACCGAACATTGCATACAACTCAATGTAAGACTTAGGCACCCTATAATAACTAAGTTTCCACTACTAACAAATGCATCCCTCCGAAAACCAGCATTTGCATTTCGCACGCATGAGGCACGACACAAGTTACAAATCAAGCAAACCAGATTTGTCATAAATCAATATTTAATTACAATACAGGACAATCAAATTTGTAAAACAAGGAAACTAACCAAAATAAAATCCCAAATTAGACATTCAACCACAATTTTCAAATTAGACAGAGATAACTCCCTAAACCTTCTTCTCTTAGTGCCTCTCATTCACCACCGATCTTGCTCGTCACGGATTGAGAATTTAGTGTTCTCCCTACCATAACTCTCCCTCTCACGACCTTGCCCCCTTTAGTCTAGGGTTCACCAAAATGAAGCAAATAGAAATGGAAAGATACAAAAATGATGACTGTTAGGATATTTATCCTATTTTATCATCATTATAGTGTGTCAAGGGTTACCCTATTTATCATGATTATATTGTGTCTAGGATTACCCTATTTATCATGATTATATTGTGTCTAGGGTTACCCTATTTATCATGTACTTGTGTATCAATTTATTCTTATAAATAGAAGATTGTGAGAGGGATCAATCAAGCCCTCTAGAATTATTTTACAGTTTCAATCTTAAGTATGACAAAAGAAGAAACGAAGAAGAAGCATACACCCTCCGATTAAGTGGCACCCATGGAGTTCTCGCATTCTCTAACAACCCAACCCTAGCACAGCACGAACACTTGCTCTTCCACTTCTCGGCTTCTCTATCAGCCTCAACTCTAGCACAACACGAAAACTTCCTCTTCCATTTATCGTGTTCTCTATCAGCCAAAACCCTAGCAGAGCACGAAGACCTCTTCGAAAATGAATTGGTCCAAATGTGAAATCAGACAAACCAAGAAAGTGAGCACAGAGAGAAAGAATTTACTGAAACGCAGCGTTTCATTTAGCGTGTAAATGACAATATCACCCTTCTGTACATTCACAAAATTTGGGCCCTACTGCATGTCATATGAGTGTCAAAAACTTTCGGCGTGTCAAAGTATTCTTTTTGATTGAAATAATAGAAAAACATGTGTTTGAATTGAAGGAATTTATCTACAATATATTTAATTGATAAGTTTTTATATGGTCAGAGGAGAGGAATAAAAATAATATTATGCGAAAAAGTTAATATGTTTCTCGAGGTTGTTTAACTCTCTATCGCTGGTGTCATGGTGCGATCCCATCTCATCATCCAAAACTCCTCGAAGTCAGTGGTGTCGTCGTCGCCTTTGTCCACGTCGTCGATCATCCTCCGATACTCCGCCATGGAGCACTCCTCCCTCAAGCCCTATATCACCATGTTGAACACAGAGAACACGTCCTCAAGTTCTTCATCACCTCGTCGGAGTTTGCGCCCTCGGGGTTTAGCTCGATGAACTCTTGTAGGTTGATGCACCTGCAATCGTCACCCTCCACCTCCTGCTTTGTCACCACTTGCCCCAGATTCCTCATCATCGACCCTAGCTCCGACATTGGTGTCTTCCCATTTTTGTTCACATCGAACTTCTTGAACACTTGTTCCAAACCTCACTCATCCCTCAAATCTTCGCTCTCATTCACTTTAAAATCACGTCATACAAACACACTAAATTTTGCAATTTCGTCTTTGCGTAGCAGCGTGAACAACGCCATCCACACAAACTAACACACTCTAAAACAAACACAACGTTAGAAATCAAAATCATTGAGCTATCACTTCTTAACCACATTCAATTGGTCATATACAGAGGATTCAAGAATGAATATTTAAAAAAATGATTGGAAATAATAATAGCTTTCTGTTTTAATAATATATTTTTGTTTTTGTTAAAAATAAATAAAAAATCAATTGACTGATACATTAAATAATTTACACATTATTTTTTACATAACAATATGTAAATAGATATCTAACCAACGAGTCAAACCTAAATAAAATTATACTTGTATATTAACTCCGTAATCTTGTTGTAATTATGCTAAAACTATAATTAACAATAACTTTTTTACATATGTTTTAGATACTATGAAATACTTTTAATATATTTATAAATAATATTTTATAATATAATAATTTATTATTACATTCTATTATAACTTTATTATGATATAATTAATAATTCTAAGATATTATGATATAATAATTTATGGGTTATATATGTTTGCACTTTCTGAATTTTGATGCAAAATTGAAAATTGTTTATTTTTAAAATTTTGAAATATTTTTGTCCTAAAATCTTAAGATATGAATGGATATAATTTTCTTTCGCGTTAAACGATGTTTCAGACTTGCATTTGACTTAGAAAACATCAAATGGTATAAACCGTTTAAAGGTTAGTCAGAAACGTCCTTTGACATATCAAAACTAGTAACACACTATCAGGTTATGACAACTATATCTATTTATTTTTAATGTCAAAAATACGTAACACATTTGGATTATGTATATTTATTCATTTTTTAAATTCAGAAACCAAACTGTGTCAAAATTTGGGATATAGATGAATTTGAATTTTGTTTCAAAATTTTAAAACTAAAAATACATTTAACTCATAATTTATTATATAATATTTCCAAGATGTAATACTTTATATTTTTCCAATAACATGATCTCTTTAATATATTTATTTATTCATGACCTAGGAAGCCTGTAAAATACATATTTAACACTAAACTATGAGACTTAACTCAATACTCAGTTATGATATTTAACTCTCACAAGTTTTCATACTCTCTACTCTCACTATCATTATATAAATTATCACACTCTTACCAACTTAAGCATCAGAGAACTTTTTGCAAATAGATTTCCCCCTCTCATTATGCTCAAGCTTGGCCCAAGCTACTCTAAAGTAATAGCTCAACATTCAAGAGCAACAACTCCACCTAAAGATTCATCTATAAAATCTAATAATAATATTTTACGCCCAACATGAGACCCAAGTAAAACTTTTTCCCAACCATATTGCATATGATCCTTATGCAAAGCCTAACATGACCCTTTTATCACCACTACAATCACGATTATGTACGCCATGGACAAATGATGTTGTCATGGATGTTCTCTGCTTCATCTCTCACTAACCCCTCAATCACCTCATTCCATTGGCTGTCAAAGTGGCTTCTTCCACTACACCCAACTACAATAGCACAACCTCAACCTCAGACACCACAAGCTCCACAACAACTCCCTGTGTGTATTGGGCTCCACCCCTCCCCCTCCCTCCTCAATCACCAAGACCCCTACACAATCCACTTCCACCCACTAAAACCCTCAAGTCATTTTGCTAGGTCGAAACCCGTTTTGCCTCTGCCCATGCCAAAACCACGTGGCAATATAGCCAAGTACATACCTAACCAAAATCTCAAAGCCCAAAAATGATTTATATGGAGTACCTAACTCCAATGAAAAACATGGACTTCGGGACACATGTGTAGACTCTTCAAGTTCATATATGATATTTACCTATATATTTGTTAAAGTCGATATTCACGTGTTTAATAATTGTGTGTATTTGTATTCCGTTTTATTCGAAGCTTGATTTAGGTTACTCAATTGTAGTAGTCTGACATGGAAGACCAACTTCACCTTAAAAACTTCTTGATAGTGGTCGTGCCTTGGGATGCTGTTATGTCATCCTTTTGAGCAAGTAAAACACTTAGAGAAACGATGATGATACCCCATTCCACCTCACAATATTCCCTAAAATTAATATAAACATTATTATTCTTACTAGATATTATTGAGAAGAGTCTTTAAGGCAAAATCTTCATTCTTGAATGTTAGGTTGTTATTACTAAATAATCCGAATTGATTTGCATGTGTGATAAAAAAAGAAATCTAAATGAAAATTTTTTCTATGCTTAAGTTAATAAAAAAGGTAAATATATGTATTATTATAATTAGTTGTACTATGATTGAAAATTAGAGTTGAGTGGTAAGAAGTTGTATTTATAGGTTTATTAGACCAAAGAAGCAAATATATATTAAAAATATGTTAGTTGAATAATTAAGTATTATTCCTGGAAAGAATCTAATAATAAATTATATCATGAGATATTGTATGTCATAATATTTTAGAGCTATATACAATTATCACTTAAAAAATATTAATGATATATCAATCTATTATTTATTTTCCATATCAATAAACATTGTCGATTATCATTTTAAAACAAATACAAATAGACTTATGTTAGTTATAGCAAAATAAATTCAAACTTAAATTTAAAAAGAAGTGAAAATGAGGTATCTAAAATTCGAAGGGTATTTTTGTATTAAAATTTACTTGCATATGTATAACAAAATCATTATCGATATAGTTTGATTTAAATTTATTATTTTAAGTGTCGATAGAATTATTATATATAATAATACTAAAAATTTATAATATTAATGTGTTTTAATGAAATTATATAAAAACTACATTCACTCTTAAATTATGATACACTAAAATAAAAAAAATAAATATTGTATCAAATTACGTGTTGATACAGTTTTCAATACTCCGCCATCAACTTATCAAAGGAGCATTGTCCTCATTTTTCATTTGTTTTGGCTAAAAGGAAATAAAAGGAAAGATGAGATAGAAAAACTACATTTTCAAAAATAAAAACTGTATTAAGTTAAAAAAAATTATATAAGTTTTGAAAAACCATAAACAATTTTTCATTAAGAAAATATTATTTTTTAATTATAATAAAAAATTCTCTTTAGTGTACAATTATTTGGCTGAACCATTAAAAGAAGAAATAAAAGGAAAACCGCTAAAAGGAGGGCTTGAACATCCGACCTTGTGGTTAACAGCCACACGCTCTAACCAACTGAGCTATTCCGGCTTTTTGTTTACAAGTTATCAGAAAACTTAAATGTAATTTAATGATATTAATTTAAGTCTTGTCTGACATTTAAGTCTTATCAGAAAATTTCAACCAACAATGAAATATGCTAAAGAGTATGTTGCTAGTATTCAGCTAGTTCAAATAACTTTGAAACCAGCAGTCATTGCATCTTGGCTTCTAACATATTGCTCACTCAAGTCTTGTTCATCAGTGTTGGCAGTGTTGTTGAGGAAACTTGAAAACCATTGAACAGAAAGCTTGGGAATCCGTTCAAGAGTATCTCTATCCACATAATAAAGACCATATTTGACTTCATAGCCACTTGCCCATTCAAAGTTGTCCATCAATGACCATATCATATATCCTCTTACATCAGCACCTTTCCTGCACATAATAAAATCCCTCCCTGTCAACAAAGTAACTAAGAATAGGCCTTAAACAATGTTGCTACTCATATCATACCTTATGGCTCTAAGCAGGGCTGCAAGGTAAGCTTTATGATAATCTACTCGTTTGAAATCTTGCAGTAGATCATTTATTGTCATATCTGGTTTTGGTGGTGATGAATATCCTGAAACAATTTCCAAGTGGTCATCCATAAGTTATTAACTAATACCTTCACAAAAGCAACCCTCAATAGTTAAGGTTCCATGTCCCTTAGGTAAAATGTTTGAGATTACATTACTCATTCATTGATCAAGCACAACCCATGAAAATAACAAAATGGGAGAAAATGAGATCATGAAATGTATTTAGTTTCACTTACCATTTTCTGTAATATACATGGGCCTGTTATGGTATCTTATCTTGATGTAGTCTACAATCTTCTCCAAGCCCCTTGGAACCACAAAGAACCTTGGGTTTCCTGTCTACTAGGACAAAAGAAAATGTATCACCAATTATGTTGAATGTTTTTTCCTTTATCAAACATTTGAGTAAACACTGTATCTAGTGGAAATAATCTAAGTCTAAGTCCCAATTAGGTATAACCAACAAAGTTACACAAAAAAGACTCATAAATCCATGGTTTCAAGATTTTGAATTAAAAATGATGTCAATACTTTATATGGATTGGACTCAAGTCTCTCTCACACACACATATATATATATATATATAAAAGCTCTCCCTAAGTACCCCCTTAAAAAAAGAAAAAAAAGACCATCAATAACACAATGGTTAGAACACTTGGAAGACACAAAAGTACCTCATCACCAATAGGAATGCCATCTCTTATTCCGATTGTTTCTACAAAGCCTCTTATTGGACGATCTGTTCCTAAAGGACAAGCAGTGAGGGAGCAGTCCTTGGCATAAAGAGTTCCATAGTTATTGATGCCAATGAAGTCTAAGCTTCCTTTTATGAGATTCTTCTCCTCAGGAGAGAATCTTGGCAACTGGTTCCCAAGAATAGAACGCATTTCAGCAGGGTACTCACCAAAAACCAAGGGATCTAAGCACCTACAAAATATCAGAATTTTCTTGTGCTGCTAGTCTTTTCATTAATAAAGTACATAATAATTTATAATACTACTTACCAACTTACCATGATACAACAAAAGACAAGACTCTTTTCACAGCTTGTGTATCACATTCTTCATCTCTAAGAGGTTCATACATGAAGGTATGAGCAACAATGCCAATGATTCCGCCTTGCTTTTCCTGGATTAGTTTACTAATTAGAAGCCCATCTTAGCCTTTAATCCTTTTTCACCTAAACTAGAAAATGTGACAACAAATACCTGAAAATGCTTTCGGTACAACTCAACAGCCTTGGCATGTGAAAGTAACATATTGTGCATGGCAATGAGAGGCTCAACATCAGAGTTACCAGTAGAACAATTTCCAAAAGGTGGGGAGCAGTGACCAGGGGGATATGTTCCTCTTATAAAGCCAAAGTCTGCAACTAGGTTTGGTTCATTGATGGTAGTCCAGTACTTAACCCTGTCTCCAAAGCTCTTGAAACAAATCTCAGCAAAATACACAAAATCTCTCCTACAACAAAAGAATACACGTTATCAAAGTTTTACAGTAAACTTAGCTTAAATTTCAGGCTACAGTTATGCTGAGGAATTCATCAGCTTAGAGGATAATTTCTTAGAAGTGGCAAATTTCCAAAATCACTAGCATATGTATATCACAGGACTGAAATAGTAAGAACAACGCATTTACTGTATCAGGGGACTAAGCCAACCACCATATTTTTCTTCCAGTTCTTGTGGCAAGTCATGATGGTGAATTGTCACAAATGGCTCAATCCCTGGATTAAGCACACCACGCTCAGATTTAGGCATAACTTAGGACAATGTCACGCGGTTATAAACACAAACATTAAATATGAAGTTCAACAAAACAGCTATAGTTTTCTTTTCTAGGGAGAGTTAGTTCTTGTGTCTTGCTAAAAGTGAATGCCATCAATATGAAGCCAAAACAAAGTAGCATTGTTATGGAATATAAAGAACCATGTGGGGAATTTTACTTCACCTCTAAGCAGCAGATTGTCTATGATTTTATTGTAGAACTTTATTCCACCTGGATTTATGTCCCCATATATCCCTCCTGTTAATGAAGACCAAATTCATCAGAAATTTTTAATGATAAGATCATAAGAGCTATTTATTACATGTATTGCTAATTACATACTAGGTAGAATCCTTGCCCATGAAATAGAAAATCGATACACGTTTATCCCAAGAGAGGACATCAACTTGATGTCTTCCTGTCAAGTAAGAGGGATAATGATTAAGCAAGTCAACTATGCTATCAGAGTGAAACAAAAACAGGTAAAATATGAAGCTGATATTTACCAAAAACAGATGATAGTGATCATCTGCAATGTCACCATTCTCATCATTGCTTGTCTTTCCTGAAAATTCATCAAATTGCAGAATGATCATTCGGGTTCATCATTATAATTCTATAGCTTTATGCTCAACAAGAAATGAAGACCGACTTTGCATATTCAACTGACAATTTACCTGGAATATGACTGAAAACATCCCAGTTGCTCAAACCCTTGCCATCTTCACGAGGTGCTCCCTCAATCTTTTTTTGGAGAAAAAGAAGAAGAAAAACCCCATTATAAAAACAGCAACTTTAAATATTTCAGAAACAGAGAAGGAAAAGTAAGCAACTATGTAACTCCAACAAACTTGGTATATTTCTGGGAAAAGTTCAAGTTTAGAGTAACTCCAACATGAATTTGAAGGCAGGGAAAGGTGAAGTAAAACATGTACCTGGTAGGAGGAAGTGCATGCTCCGAAGAGGAACCCTTTTGGGAATTGAGATCTGGTGATTCCATCTTCTAATCCAAGACAATTTTTGACATGAAAAGGAACACGGCAAAGTAGTATCAACACAAGAACCAGTTGTTTTTCCAACATAATCATCGTTTATTGACTCGTGTTAGCCAAAATGTTGAAACCATTATATAAACTGATCAGGTGGTTAAAACAAACATATCATATGATTGACAAAGTAGTTTCTGCTAACTAATTCCTATAATTCTGTAGACTGTCTACAATTATTATTTGCCGGTAATGTGGATGATGTTATCGTCCAATAAAGACAAAAAAAATTTGGCCTTTCTTTATCAACTTACATTTTTTTTAAGTTTTTAAATAGATATTGTTTTATGTTTTAATATAATAGAATTTCAGTATTTTAGTTTTTAATAAATTGATGCATTTAGTTATAATTTATAATAATATAAAAAATATTTTTGACTCAATTATAAATTCTCATATAAAAATATAAGAATTTATATTTTTATGAAAACATTGTTTCAATATAAAATTAGATAAATAATATAAAATATATGAATAAATTTTGTAAAGTATTACAATTACATATTCAATAGAAGTATAGATTTAAATAAAATTAGACATACAAATGTTATAAGAAACTAGAAAATAAAGTATTAGAATAGATAGGTATTTTAAAATAATGAGATCAATTATTTTATTTTAAAATAAGTTGATAAAATAAATAGAATTTCATACTGTCGTCTCATTCCTTAAAACACATTTCATCTATCTAGAACTCGTTCTCTAAGCTTTTTCTATCTTCTCTCTACATTTTCTTACTCTCTAATATTCTGTTTGACAATCAAAAGGTTCGTAGAGGATCACAGCGAAGTACTCTCCACTTTCATCCAATTGATTATTTGTTTAGAGCAAGTAAGTTTCTATCCCTTTTCTCGGTCTATCTTCGATCTATGATCATACGTACCAAATATGTCCCTCCTTTATCAATTTAGTTTCTTCTTTGATTCTTGGTTAATTTTGGGTCCCAAGATTTCATTATGATCATCATTATGTCAAATTGTAGGCTTTCTCCTAAAATTCTTGGTGGTGAAAGCTTCGAGTGGGTATTTGTAGAGCTGCCTTAGTCTCCCTAAGGTAAGGGAAACTAATTTGTCTTTCATAAGTGTAGTAAGATGATTGAAATCTGTTAATTTGTGTGTATGTAATTATATGAAAATTGGTGATGTTGAATTGGACAAAAGTGTTGAGTGATTATAATTTTAACACGTGTTATGATACTTTTGAAAATATGTGATTGCTGTTGTGAGTTATTGCATGATGAATTTAGTATATTGCTGAGATAAAAGAGTATTAATAATGATGGTTGTGAACGTATGAAATTAAACTCCACTTTGTAGCTTGAATTGATGATGTGGGTATGTCAATTTTTGGAATAATGATCACAATGTGAAATCTACAGTTTGATATATGTTTTGGAGTGTTTTATGATTTGTTAGCATCATTAGATGGTCAAATTAAGAAGGTTAAGGGAGGGAGATAAAATGAGTTCAAATCTTACTTGTTTTGGAGTGAAAATTAGGGGTTTTGGTAGGTGAATTTTTGAGGAAATGGTGATTTAATAACAGTACAAGTTTGAGAATTGTGTTGGAGTTATTTCAGACTTATTTGGGACTTTTAAAACAGTAAAAATCTGATCTATTATGTAGTAGAGGTCTTGTGAGGGTGTATTTGCATGGTTTTTGGTCAAAAAGAGGGGTTTTAGGTAGTGTATTTCTAAGGGAGTGATTCTGGGTGGAATTGGAGAATTTAGAGTCTATTATTAAGTCATTCAAAACTTGTTTATGTATATTGTGCAGTGAAATGGTTGTTAGAAGAAATGGAAATGAGTTCGGGTAGTTTAAAGAGGTTGTTTTGGTTTGAAATGGTCAATTTGAGTTAGAGATGATTTTTCTGAGATGTCTAAGTGTCTATAGGGTCTTAGGGAGCAGTAGAAGTTGGGGGTATGGTGTCTAAGGCAAAAAAAAAGGGGTCTGTTTTTGACATGGCGCTTGAGCGCCCATGGTTTGGGGCACTTGGGCGCCAGGAACAAGTTTTTTTTTCAAGTTGACTTTTAAGCATTTTGTGATACTTGATTTGGTATTTTTTGGATTCTTTTATGGATGTTGCATGATTTTCCTATGTTTGGATGAAATGTGCAATAAGGTTATCAAAGTGTGAATGAAACATTGTGATGGGAATTCCAAAGAGAAATCTCTTATTGGTGGTTTTATGAAAGACTAGTATAAAATTGTAAGAAGCCGATATGATGGTTATTCTAACACTCTAATGATCATCCATGCTCAATTAGAGAGTAATGAGTCATGTCGTGAGAGGAGCAGGAGGTCCTAGCCTGGGGTCTTTCTTCATGGTGGCAAATGGCGTTTTAAGAACTAACCTTGTGTGATAGCTTTGAGTAAGTCATTTGTTTCACCACATAGGTGCAAAACCTTCGATGGCTCGAGATTTATACTATATAATAAAGGGTTTGGCCAAGCTGAGTCAGTAGATATGAATGAGAATGATGTTCTGCTTATTGAGTGTTTTAGTTTTTGTATGTTGTACTTGCTTTAATAGAATAGTTGTTTTATAGTTAGCTTACCCTTCTTGTATGTTTCTTGGTTGTTTGTATTATGTGTTATTCTTTTGCCGATGATCATCTGATGGGTATGAGTAGAGTTCGATGATGTGACGATTGAGCAAGCATTAGGCGGAGAGGGTGCTGATGTGTAGTGATTTTAGTACTTTAATTCCTGAGTGATTATCTTTTCTTAGTGGTTTTTGATACATCATTCTTGTTCATAGTTTTGATACTTGTACTTGTTGTGTATAGAGTTAGTTTTATATTTACCTTGGATAACTGTAGAAATGACTTTATATTTTTTTTTATATTTTTTTTCCAGCTTATTAACTTATCTATCTTATTGATTATGTGATTTTTTCTTTATAGTTTCAATAGTGTATTTGGGATGTTACAAATGTTATGTTATAAAGTACTTAAAATTCTCTGTGATTTTTTGAAAATATAACACATGTAATATCTGTATTTTAGTAATTTAAATCATATAAATTTCTATATTATCTTTATTTCTTTTAAAATTTATGTAAATATAATATGTTTTATATATGAATAGAAATGTTTAAAAAAAACATAAGAAAATAATAATGTAAATAATATATAAATGTTTATTTATTTTATAGTAGGTAGGAGTGATATCACTCCTTCTCAAAATGTTTTGTTAATAAATAGCAAAAATAATATAAATATTACACCATATTTGATTTCGTAACCATCAATATTTTGTAAGTATTTCCTGTTTTTTTTAATTAAGTGTTAATGTTACTTATTTAAGAAAACTTTAATGCAAAATATAACATAATGAAACAAACATGCATTTTAATAGAAAAATATTCATTGGGTATATATATATATATATATATATATATATATATATATATATATATATATATATATATATATATATATATATATATATATATATATATATATATATATATATATATATATATAACCTTCATATGATCTTCATATTTGCTAAGGAATCTCAAGTTAGTTCTCTTATTTAAAACGGTCTCAATTGGTTCTTAAATTTTTTTTGTAAATTTGTAACAATTAAGTGTTTTTCGTTAAGTGGTCAGAAACGAAGTCAAGACATATTGAACTGTAATATTTTTTGGAGGACGTTTCATTCTTGATTAACTTTAATGGCTGATGTGTTTTATGATGATAATTTATATGTGAAGTGAATTATGACCTACAATTCTCCATCCAAAGTAGGGTTATGATGCAAAGGGGATTCTTGCGCTGCGAGGACATGAAGAAGGTTTTCTAGTGGCTGCTAGTTCTATCACGATGGCGCATTGCATAGTTGGGTTCTGTGGTCTTTTCCTTTTTGCAGGTTGAAGAAGCTAATGTAGAGAGTTTGTGAGGTTCCCTAGAGTAGATGAAGAAGAATGCGATGGAGAGCGAGAATGCGATTTCTTTTTTGTTTCGATTTGTAGGTGATTCGCCATTGTAGAGCGATGGAGAGGCCATGGTGGCGCAATTAAGCTCGCTATGAAGGAGGATTGCGCGAGGATTCAAACTAGGGTTTCGTTTTCTCTGCAGGTTGGAGCGCGATTTGAGTTTTGTCAGTGATTAACGACGAGGTTGATGGTTTTCTGTAAGGAGCTTGGGAACTCACGACTTACGGTTTCAATTTTCATTTCTTTGGGCTTTTATGGTTTTGGGTTATCTATGATTGTAGGCGCGTGATGATGGAACTAGATGCTCCATGGCCACTATGATTATGCGATTTGGTTTCTTCAGGTTCGCGAAGATGATTCACGAACGAAGACACGAGACCGTGGTGGCGCTTCTTTTCTTAGTTGTGATTTAGGGCTTTTCACAATCTGGGTTTTTTTGGTCTTCATGGAGGCGCGATCAAGGTGTAGTGGTGGAACTCACGATTTTTGTGATTAGGGTTTCGTCGCGGTAGCTGAACGATGACCAACTGTGTGTGAGGAAGCTGATGAGCGCGCAACTCGTGAAAGATGATGCTCACTGTGGTGATTGGAACAAACATTGTGGATTCACGGTGGTCTGATTAAGATTACGACAACATGAGATATGTGAAATGAAGAAGATGAGTGCTTGTAGTGTTATTAATTGAACGTTATAATTTAAATTTCATTTCCATGTAATAAAATAATCCAGATCAACATGTTTAATATACACCACATAAGTAGATCTTGACGCCGTTTGATATCACTTAATAGAAAGGGCTCAATTGTTACTAATTTACAAAATTTAGGACCCATTGGAGGTCATTTTAAACGAGAGGACCAAACTTAGATTACTAAAAAAATACGTGGACCATCCGAGGGTTCAAACATGTATACACACACATACACACACACACGCACACACACACACACATATATATGTATGTATGTAACAAGGTTGTCAAACTCGAGAGTTTACGTAAACTCGACTCGTAAACTCGAATCGTAAACTCGTAAGAGTTTACTTTTTTGAAAAAAAAATATAAATAACATCTAATTCAAATAAAATAACAAATTTATATAAATTTAAATACATAGTTTTATAGAAATATTACTCATAGAAATATTGTAAAAC